AGAAAGAAAGAAAGAAAGAAAGAAAGAAAGAAAGAAAGAAAGAAAGAAAGAAAGAAAGAAAGAAAGAAAGAAAGAAAGAAAGAAAATTCAAAACAATTGTAGCCCACACCCACCTTCGTGGCCTCAGCCTGTTCTAAGCCTCTGTAGAGGTCAGAGGTCAATCTCAGATGTCATTCCTCAGGCACTTTTTACTTTTTGTTGGAGGTATGGTTTCTTATTGGCTTGGAACTAACCAAATAAACTAGGTTAGGTGGCCATTGAAACCCAGGAACCAGCCTGTTTCTGCCCCCCAATACTGGGGTAGCAACTGTGTGCCTCCATGCCCGGGCATTGTCAGGTCAGTCCTCCCTACCTGGGAGCTGTCTTTTCTAGAATTTCACAAACCAGGCATTGGGCTCTTTTTCTTAATCTTTTCTACCTACACTGGTCCTGCTGGAATTTCTAGGCACACTTTGCACTCTCTAGCCCTCTGTAGACCGACCCTCCTCTGCCTCAGCCATGTCTCCATTTTGTTTCAGACTCAGCTGAACCAGTCTGTTAGCAGCCTCCATAAACGATATGAAATTAGCTTGATGTGCACAGTTCTAACTCATTCACAGTATTGGTTTTGACTACATTAAGTTGCTACACATATACCTTACAAAGGAAAATTTATAATGAACAGAAATCTGTTCCTGGCCATCCCGAAGGCTGGGAGCCCAAGCTCAGGTGCTAACATGGCTGTCTAGTGTAGGCCTCTGACTGCATCTGCGTTCATCACAGAACAGAAGGCAGAAAGGATACAGGCTCCCTCCCGCCTCCTTTATAAAGATACACACATCGATACACACACATGCGCGCGCGCGCACACACACACACACATACACACACACATCGATACACACACACACACACACACACACACACACACACACACACACACACACATTCCTTTGTTGCCTAAATTTCTTGTGTAGAGTTGAAGCCCAGTGAGCATTACCCTTGTCCATATTTGCATGTCTGTGGTGCTGTCCTTATTCAGTTTGTGTTTAGAAAGTCATGTTAGAGAGACTGTATGGGTGTGGCTCCTGACATTCCAGGGAGACACAGGCTCACAGGAAACCCCTTGACCCTCTGGCTCTTTGAGTCTTTCTGCTCTCTTTCCAAAAGGATCCCTGAGCCCTGGGTACAGGAGTTGTGGTCTAGCTAAGCCCTGTCAAGCCTTTAAAATATTTCTCATTTCCAAGGTCTTAATTAGAATGCCAAGCTCTGAAATATTTGGATCCTAACAACATGCCTTTTAAAGGGCCTTTTTAGAGAAAGAGAAAGTTTTGTTTTGTGTTTTTTTTTTTGGGGGGGTGGGGCATTATCAGAAAGCTGCTGCCTAAATGAGAGTTGATTAATATTTTCCAAAGTTATTCACACTGTACCAACGGTTCTGTCGGAGGGAGCCTGAGACACAGCTCTGATGGAAGCATAAGGCCTTGCCACCTGGATGAATATCTACTTGTTTTGCTTACAAAATAATTATGCTGCTGCCCTTCTTCTAAGGGAAATAAGTTATTATAAACAAATACAAAATGAGTATCTGCTGTCTATTAGGCAACATTTTTGTTTTTTTTTTCCCAAGATTATTAGTCCTTAGGGGAAAGATCGTTTGTACCCCAAGTGACTTCGTAATCATATCGGATCACTGCACTTTTGTTTCCTCTCACCTCAGATCTCCATGTCTGAAATCTGAGGAGTTTGTGAATATTGTGTGAAGTACATGTTACTGGGGCTTTGGAATGGCCACACAGCTGAACTTGCCAGCCTATTGTCCATGAAATTGGCTATTAGTATGGCTCTGGGCTATGCTGGCATGACATGCAAGAGCACCATCTGGCAAAGGGACCTCTAGATCAACAGTATTTTCTGTGAGGGAGTTAAAGAATTAAGCAATTACAGATCTCATAACCATGGCTGGAGATGTGGAAATATGTTCTATAAATACCACTGTAACTACTGAAATCCCTTTGCAGAGCCTTCTGAATGCCAGCAAAGTCTGGACGTGAGAGGAGAGGATGGCTCATCACTCTGATTTCTTCTATATATTCCCCAGAAAATATGTTCAGGCTTCTCTTTCATCCCAGGGAATCTTGCACAGAGAGGAATTCTTTATTATTGTTATTATTATTAATTTTTAGATTGTAGAAAGCTGAGATTTTGCCAGAATTTCCACATTCATACTTTCTGCATATTCTACCTTCTCTGTATGTTTTCCATAAGATTCATTGGGTGGAACAAATAAATAGAATTCTGAGGCCACATTCATATATGATAGGGACCACAACCTTCCATTTTCAAGACTGATGCATGATGGGTATTGGGCTCTGTACATCTCTCTAAGTCTCTTGAACAGTGTTCAGTGCTGACAGCATCAGCATCAATGTGGAAAGTGGAGCATTTGATCCACATGGGTCTTTCCATGCTGTTCTTCCTTCCACACTCTGCAAGCTTCCCATGAAGCACTGGAAGAACAGGGCTCAGGACTGTTTACATCCTTTCATCCATTTACTCACCTGTTCAATATTTTTTCCTTCAGTCATTTAGTTTTTCAGTTCCCACATCCCTAGGTTCAAAAGGCTCTGTGAGGCTTTGGATACATATGTTTAAGTATGACCAGTTACTGCTATAATCATTTCCTGAATTACCTTGGACTGCACGCATCTCACACATACACACACAGACACAACACACATCACACACAATAACACACACATAACACACCACACACATAATACAGTGCACACCCCCCACATAAAACCACACACACATAACACACCATCACACACACACACACACAAAACCACATGCACACACTACAATACAACATGCACACACATACCATACACAGGCAACGCAACACAACACACACACACACACACACACACACACACACAGCTGTAAACACTGTAATCAGACCTTGGCAGGCAAAGTGTTATGGGACTCAGATGAGAAAGTTGCCACTTTTTTCTGGGACTTCAGTTCTGAACATAGAGACTAGAGTAAGTCTGTGTCTCCTGGGGAAGATGGCGGTGTGGGATATGGCTGTGCTGAGGGGCCCCTCCCAATCTGTTCCTCCTCCTTGCAAGACTCCACGTGATCCAAGATCTGGTAATTGAGGAGCCAAGGACAGGTCTACGACAAGTGAAGCACTCAAAGTCAGGAAAGTCACTGACCCAGTCCCTGTGGCTCAACAACAATGTCCTCAACGACCTGGAAGACTTCAGCCAGGTGGTTACACAGCTTCTGCAGCACCCAGAGAACCTGGTCTGGATCGACCTCTCCTTCAATGACCTGACTTCCATTGACCCTGTCCTAACAACATTCTTCAACCTAAGTGTCCTCTACCTTCATGGCAACAGCATCCATCACCTAGGGGAGGTGAACAAGCTATCTGTCTTCCCTCGTCTCCGGAGCCTGACTCTCCATGGGAACCCCATTGAGGAAGAAAAGGGGTATAGGCAGTATGTGCTATGCAACCTGCCCCGTATCACCACGTTCGACTTCAGTGGAATCACCAAGGCAGACCTCACCACAGCCGAAGTCTGGAAATGCATGAACATCAAGCCCAAGAAGGTCCAGATCAAGCAAGATGTACTCTGAAATTCACAGGACCCCAGCACACCTAATGCCCTGGGGATGATCAGCTTGGTTTGACAATAAATGATTTAAACTGTTCAGGAAAAAAAAAAAAAAGACTCCTTTGTCACGTGTTTGTGCTTCAGCGTGCTCAAGTCTTAGTGCTTGATTTGCTAGGACTCTGGCTATAGATGTGAGGTTCCTGGGTTCTACATCAGAGCCCATTCCAAGGCACAGGGTGATGATATGTCTCCTGTTCCAATGGGAATGGACATTGGGTGCCATCTCCTTTTATTTCTGAGGAGCAAATACAGAATCATAGGAGAAATTGCCCCAGGTCTGTGTTCTCACACATCTTCACATCTTCGTGTCATCAGAGGGCTGGGGCTGAGGCCAAGGCTAGCTTCGTCTTCAGCTACGCTCGGGGCAGCACTTGCCCCTTCTGTGGCTAAGCTCAGGCTACCTCTCATGTGCAGTTCTGGCTCCCGGGCTGAAGGAGTGGAGCTTCTAGGCATATTCTGGTGTAGGACCTAAGCAGCCAGGAAGACCATTTTCAAGCCTTGATTCCATCATTCCTGCTAAGATCAGTAGTGCAAGGCCATTCACATGGCTGAACATAAAATGCAAGTGAGGAGGAAGGGTCAGAGTGGGTGCCCATTAATGCATCTCCATGGCCGTGAGTACTTGTGGAAGATGGCCCTTCTGTACAAATACAGGACATAAAAAGAACTTGGCAGAGGTCTGGAAAGGAGAAAGAAATAAGCACACTAGTCATGTGATAGTATGATACACACACCCAAGATTCTTGTAACAGCCTGCAGCAGCAGAAACCAGACATTTAGGGAATAATTACCTAGTCATCGTAATAATGAAGGTCCTGTATGGGGAGGTAGCAATGACGGTATGAGGGGATGAAGGGGAGAAGGGTATTTCTGGAGCCTAATCCGTCACTCTGGACATCTTGCTGGATGTAACAAGACAGCGAGGATAAGCCCCATACACTGACTGAAGCCTGAGCAATATCAGAGAGTGGAAGTCAGCATTAAAACGGGGGTGTGAGGTTCCCTGAGGTGCTGTAGGAGCTGCTTTGATAGAAGTAAGGGGCATAAGATAGCAGAGGCCTTGGGGAAAGAGGAGGATGATAAGGAGGTGGCAGATAGTGACCCCTGAGTAGGAGCCATTGTATAGAGACCCTGGGACTAAGGGCTGAGCAAACCTGTGGTGATATGTTGTGTACCCTAATAAACTTTGGCTAATGATTAGAGGACAGAACAAGCCACTAGATTAAACATAGAGGCCAGGCAGTGGTGGCACACACCTTTAATCCGAGCACTCACGAGGCAGAGATCCCTCTGGATCTCTGTGTGTTCAAAGCCACCCTGGACTACATGAGATTGACTCAGTCTAGGAGAGAAAACAGAGCCAGGCAGTGGTGGCACACACCTTTAATTTCAGTACTGGGAAGCACAATGCCATTAATCCCAGGAAGTGATGGCTGGGCAGAGAAAGGTACATAAGGTGTAAGGAGACAGGAACTAAAGACTTTTCAGCAGAAGCATCCCTTTCAGCTAGAGGCTTTTTCAGGCTGAGGAGTCCTAGAGGTAAGAGGTGGCTGTGGCTTGTTCCTTTGTCTTTCTGATCTTTCAGCATTTACCTCAATATCTGGCCTGGGTTTTTATTATAAGACCATTTAGGAATTTGTGTTACACAAACCTGCCAGTGTATTAGAGGCCAGAACAGGAGGGTGGTAAGACATTGGAATGCTAACATTCTAATGACCTTCTGACTGGATAGGGCAGGCACCAAGCTGCAGTGTGCTGGGCGGTGGGTTCAGCTGAGTGGCAGAGGTCACTGTTCTCAGAGCTTTGATAGCAACAGTGAAGAGATTGCTGGAGGAAGACAATGCACAAGGAAGAACGCAGTGTGGCCTTCGTGTGGTTGTCCTGCACACCGGTATCTGTTGACCATTCCCACAAGGACAGGATAGGCACAAGTCAAAGAACACAGAGATGTGGACAGCACTGAGGCAGCCAGATCCTAGCTGCGAGAAAATCCAGAAGAATGGAGCTTCTGTCTATTGCTTGTTCTGAACTGGGACTTGACCTAGGGTGGTCTAGGTCTTGCCTTAGCAAATACCAACTCTTAATTTTCAGTCTAGGTTTTACAGGCTCCTCCTGTTCATGAAGAACAAGGTAGGAGCAGGAAAGTTTCCCTTGTAAATGTCCACTGATGTTGATGGCACGGCAGGCAGAAGGGCCGGCACACCCTCCCTGGCTTCCCAGTGCTGCTGCAGCACACCTGCTGGTGGCACAGGGACAGAGTCGGGGTTCTGCCACCGTCGTCAGGGTTCTGCGGAGAAGTGCCCAGTGGTTGATAATCACCCTCGGTGCTTTGTAACACAGAAATGACTACCGGGGTCTAAATTAAATGAGTTAAGGACCAAGCACTTGAGAGGTAAATCAGTCTTGAACGAGTTTACTTGCAGGGCACTTATGGTGCACGAGGATCTGATTTCTTACTAGGTTCCATAAACTTTTGATGTTTCCATAGTTTTCTGTTTTTGTGTTCCCCTTCCCTCAGATGTCCCCAGTTCCATGTTTCCTGCGTGTCACATGCAGTGTGTTAAGTTCTGTGGCCCCACTGGCAGAGTGTTTCTAAGTCAATCAAACACACCCTGCTTTCCACTCAGTGCCACCAATGCTGTAGGCATTGAACTGACGTAGCCTTTACACTACTTTTGCACACTCTGGAACTGAGGACGGCATAAGCTCTATCTGCATGTAATGCTTTCCATTTTCTTGTCTTTCTGCCTGCCCCTCTCCCAGAGCTGTGACCTGGAACAGCAGAGCATTGTTCACATCGTGCAGAGACCATGGAGAAAAAATCATGAAACAAATGCATCTGGAGAGGACAAGCCCCGCAACATCTCAGGGGGCCCTGTATGGGAGTCCAGGGGCTTGACAAGGGTGGACCTCAGCAGCCATATCCTGCCGGCAGACTCCGTGGGACTGGCGGTCATTCTGGACACAGGCAGCAGAAGTGATTCAGAAGCAGCCAGAGTTCCAGGTAACTGCAGTGACCCTGTTCAAGGCTACTGAACATTTTTGTTTGTTAACTTATTGTCCAGAGGGAGTGTGCTCACTCAGTACACACTTGGCTCATGATATGTTTGGGGCTGAAATCTCTAAGTCACCATAGGGGGACATCCTGAGAGTCCATAGTTGTGGAAGTGAGGGGAGTACGTGCAATAGTATGTAAGGACAGTAAACTGGAGGACACAGGAGAGTGGACAGAGGGATGGACCATGAACAATATGGTCTATGTTCCTCCTTTGAGGTGCTGCGGTGGTAAAGATGTATCAAGCTCTGTTAGGGTTTAGGTGTACAACTGGGAGCACACACTTTGCTTTTCTCTAATTTTTTTTATGTTCTTAAATATATTTTCCTTGACTATATTTTTAGTCATACAGAGAAGGTTTAAAAAGTCAAAGGTGTTTTTAAGTACTCTTGCACATTCTCTGGCTTGGGGTCATGATGTCAGTGTAGTCATTTCAAGCATTTTCCTTGGTAAATAAGTGCATTATCTCAGTGAATTTATGTAGTGGCAAATGTGCAAGAGTGGTCATGTCTAGTGCATGGGGAAGGGTTTCTCACAGTTCTGGAAGCTGAGCCATCTAAGGTGGAGGTGGTGGGAGGTTGGGAGTCTAGAAGGGACTGACATCTGTTTCTAAGAAGGCACCATGTTGGTACCTTTCCCTGAGGAGATGAAGACCATGTCTTCACGTTACAGAAGAGATTCTATGCCTTAAAAAACAAATGATGGGTCTACTGTTTATTCAAACAATGGCTCAAAATAATCCTCATGCCAGAGACATTTTTCGTGGTTCATATTATCTGGATGCCTATTTCAAGATGAACTATTCTCTTGTTTGACTATAGTGATCAATCATGAATTTATTTTTTATGACATTAATCCCACTCCTGAGGTCCCAATTGTCCCATGTCTTAATAACATTTGTTATTAGGTTTAGAGGAGATACATATAGCCAAATCCTAGAAGACAGTCATCATTTTATTACCTTGATGATATTAATGTATTTCCTTAAGCATTTATTGTCTGATATGAATAAATAATGGCAGAACAGTAGTAATTTGGGCTGTGCATACAGCTAAAAACCAATAACTGACTCTCCAGAGTAGTTTATTTCTTCTCCCACATAGGCATAGATAGGCCTGGGTTAGCATGGCTTTCTCAGTACCAGAGATCCTGGGGCCAGAATGGTTGAAGTTTAAAAATAAGAAAAAATGGCTCTTGTTAAAATCCCTCAATACTGTGTAATTGATTTTTAAGACCATCAATGATCTTGCAGTAAGAAAAGAAGGACCATCAACAACAAAGAACAGCATAATACAGTAACACAGTTCCCAGCTGCAGTTCCTTTGGAGAGTGGATTGCCCCAGAAGTTAGGTGTACTGCTCCTAACCAAGGCAAATAACTGCGAACTCATCTCATAAAGGAAAGAGCACCCGGGACTAAGAGGTCCTAAAATGAAAAGGAGCCAATGTTGACTAGATGGGAACAACAACCTGGATGGCTCCCAAGAGAAGCAAGAGAATAGAAATAGTGGAGTGGTAGTCAGCTGCCAAGGGCAGTGCCTCGAACTTGTAATTCAGCACTGCCCAAAAACTGTTGCTCAAGGACAGGATGAAAACAGTCTCCTAAGCCAGCATGAGCTTGTCTGCCCTCAGCTTGCAAGTCCTGTTGAAGGGTTTATTACAGGAAAGAATGGATATGAGGCCAAAATAAATACATGAATGACAACACTCAGAAAACAAGCAGTCAGTATTGGTGTCAATTATGATGCTGATCAGTTTGATGGACAAGCAAGCAAGGTGCCACATGAACAGTGGATAAAATGTCACTTAATAGAAAAACTGCATTAAGATATTAATAAGCATCCATATTCTGACCAACAATAAAAGGAATAAGTTACAGTCATAATGTTGACCCTGAAATGAACACTCTTGACAGATGAAGTGCTGATTAAGATG